AGAGTTATTACTGCAAGAAAATTTTAGCATATATTTTGAAAAGAGGGGAGGAGTGGGGGGAGGAGGGGAGAGCCCATAAACGGCTGTGCCTAGGGCCTACGAAAGGTATAATCCGGCTCTGAGTGTGGCAACAATTCGACTTTAGAAAGCCGCGTCACCAAAGATTCACATATTGAACATTTGTGAGGAAAAAAAACTTGTATCAGATAAAATAAAGTTGTTGATTCATTAGTAATATTCCGTTTGTAGAACTTTCAAACCTCAAAAAGATTCGTAACACATCCTATATATTGCTCTCGTTTGAACACTTTATTTGCATACAAGTGTTTTGACTCTATCGTTTCAACTTATAACCAGAGCTGGGAGAAGTTGATAATGAAACAGAACACACAAATGCTGAGCTGTATTTTTGTTTATTTTTTTTTTATTTTAAAAACCTCTTGAATTTTTTATGATTTTAGGAAGAAGTGGTAGTGACCGAGAATATACGGACAGTTCAGATGAAGAATTTAGGTCTAGTAGATTCACTAAAAAAGGAACTGTGCGGAAACAGCACGTAGACTCAGGTAATTTCTGATATCATAGAAAACTAACATTATAATTAAAAAATTGGTTACTTACATTCGGGAATAATCGAGTTAGACTCAGTAAGACTTAATTTCTACCCATTGGCAAAATGGGTCTTGTTTTGGATTTGATGGCGTCCGCACATTATTTATACGTCACCTCACTTTTCAACTGTGTTCAAGAATAATAGTAAACAGTACGCATGCGTTGCTATGGCGACAGTTGATGTTTGATAACTTTTTTTACATTCTTTTTTTTAAACTTTTATTTTTGTTATTCATGTGTTTTGCTGGTGAGTTTATTTTTGAGATATGGGACCATGCAGTGCGCATGCGTCGTCATTGCATACGTTGCTGTGGCGACCGCTGCTGTTTGATAATTTTTTTTCTTTAAAAATGCTGTAACTACACAGTTTGAAAGTCGTAGTAGACCAATCCATCTCCATCTGTATTCACTCATTTACTGAATCTGTCATATATTTTTCTTTTATTTAGTTGAAAATAACGAGCCTTCAGTAACGAACCTTCAACCAATGGTGGCATCAGATCTTACTTCTCCGAGACCCTCGCCAACACATCTCTATTCGCCTGTAGTTCCTGAATCAGTTCAACACCGAGATGTTCCCAATTTAGAACAAAATCGCTCCCCTGGATACGAAGGTAAACTAGTTACTTAGTAAAATAGAAAGTTACCTAGTAAAATAGAAGGTAACCTAGTTACCCAAAATAGAAGGTAACCTAGTTACCTAGTAAAATAGAAGGTAAACTAGTTACCTAGTAAAATAGAAGGTAAACTAGTTACCCAGTAAAATAGAAGGTAACCTAGTTACCTAGTAAACTAGAAGGTAACCTAGTTACCTACTAAAATAGAAGGTAAACTAGTTACCTAGTAAAATAGAAGGTAACCTACGACAGTGGATGAAACCTAAACTTTGATAACCTAAACTTTTGTCCCCTATCAACAATTTTTCCTTGGCCACAGTTGGGTTCAAAATTGGCTCAATATGGATCCTATAAGAACATGCACCTAATGACCAATATTGGGAAGTCTAGATCTTCTAATATTGGTCCTAGAATGGCCTATATATGGTCTACATTGGCCAATATCGAACCTACATTAGCTAAATAATGGATATAAAATATCGGGTGAATCTGACAATTCTATATATAGGGCTGATATTGGTTGTAAAGTGGCTGTAAAATATCGAGTGAATCAGAAAATTCTATATAGGGCCAATATCAGAAAAATAACGGCTCTTTGAACCTTTATTGAGCCAAAATTCATGAATTTTGGCCCAATGAGGGCCCAAGTTATTTTGCTGCTAGGATCGGTACGTTCCGGTAGGCACGTATGGTTTTTATTGAAGCTTCTAAAATTCAGCCTACCGGTTCTTAATACAGTAGGAAACCGATTATCCGGAACGATCGGGACCATCGGTATTCCGGATAACTGATTTTTCCGGTTTTCTGAATCGCTATAAAAAGCCGTTTTTTTTTAATTGTTAAACCCAACTAAAAAAAATTTTTTTTTTTGGAAATAATCTTACAAAGAAGAAAAAACGATGGAGTAATACACTAATGATTATTTCCAAAATGATGGTAAGGTAAACATCTTTCAAAAAAGAAGGAAAAATCCTAAAATCTTATGAGGAAAAAAAAAATTTTTTTTTTAAAAATGGCAGGAAAATTTATCGAATTTCGTTCCGGTTTTTTGGTTTTCCGGTTTTTCGATTTCCGGATAACGGGTTCTGTACTGTACTTCTAAAGTTTATTGCACCAGCTCTTAAAACTTCCACAGATAAGACAGTTCTTAAAACTCAAAAAATTCAGGTTACCAGTTCTTAATACTTCTAAAGTTTAGTGTACCGATTCTTGAAACCTCGTAGATGAGCATACTGATTCGTAAAACTTACGCAGTTTTATGTACCTATTTTTAAAACAATTTTTAAAAATTTAACGTACCAATTTCTAAGTTTAGTGTACCGATTTTAACTTCTGAAATTTAGCAAGCCGATTATTAACATTTCTAAAGTTCAGCGTACTGATTTTTAAAACTTCTAAAATTCAACTAGCCGATTCTTAAAACTTACAAAGTTTATTATACCGATTCTTAAAACTTCCGCGCATAAGTGTACCAATTCTTAAAACTTAAAAATAGTAGCTTAACTGTTCTTGATGCTTCTGAAGTTTAGTGTATCTATTCTTAATAATTCGTACATGAGCGTACCGATTCTTAAAACTTATCTAACTGAACTAAACGGTTTTAAAAACTACACAGTTTTATAAACCGGTTCGTAAATTATCTTACCGGTTTCTAAAACTTTAAAATTTTCTAATAAACTCAACTTGCTGATTCCCAAAGCTTATAAAATTTTACGTATTAATTCATAAAACTTTTAAAGAAGAGTATACTGATTCATAAAATTTTAGAAGTTCAGCACATGGTCACTAAAAAATTTCCGAATTTAAAACTAATACTTTATAAGATACAAATGTGTTTTGAAAATTGAAATCACGTGCATTGAAATCAGATAGACTTGATTTTGAGTTGGAAAAAAAATTGCCATCCTAGAGATGTCTAGGCTGACGTTGCTTCACTTACCTGTTCACTAAAAAATCCATCACTAATCTATCAGGTACAAATGCAACTAACGGGAATACGTTTTTATTTGTTAGGAATACGAATTGTCCAATAGGAATAGTGCAAACGGAAATAGTTTGAAGGATAGCGGAACACTGATCTAGTTAAGCCTCTGACTTGGACATCTCTATAATTCATTAATCTGTTCCTCCAATTTAAATCGATTTTATTCTCTTTTGAAGGAGGTTTAAACAATAACGGACTAATCCGTAAATCAAAATTATTGCAAAATAAATAGAATTTTTTTTGTAAGTTTATTGATTTGTTCGGCGGAGAAAACTGAATCTCACCGATTATTTCTTTCTTCACTTCATTGCTTTCACCTAGCGTCACTTCGAAATTCCTTTTTCCTTACATCTAACCTTTTATATTTAACTTTTTTCCTATAAGCATTGATTTTCACCTATAACACGTGTCACATTATGAAACTATATTATATTATCAAGGCTACTCACCCTATGCTAAGGATTCAAGAAGAGGGGACGAGGATCGAATCCAGACTCCGACATCTTCCTCCACGCACTGGTACAAGCCAAATACCAGAAGCCAGCCTCCAGAACAAGAAGAATATCCTGAAAGAACATATCGAGGCCACGTCAGAAAGGTAATACATAGATCTTTGCATGTTATTTAGTTGACATGGGCTATATTTAACTACACGTCTTGTATTTTTTAATAACGATTATTTTAAAGCATATACTAACAATAGATCGTAAGTTAATATGTACTGTCTAAGGCCTCACTTACTAATGTCTTAAATTACTACAAATTTTCAACTGAAAATTGTTTTTCCGAAAAGGGTTAACGAAAGTTTAGCTAACCTTGGAAGAAATTTTCCAAAAAAAGTGTTGAAACTTGGCTTCTCTGAAAAGCATGTATTGGAAATGAATATCAGTCACACACTTTCTTTTTGCTGTTACTAATGCCACTTGCCAATATCAGCAAAATCAAGCGAACTTACAAGGAAGAGGGTGCTTTTCTTGTTTTTTCAGTAGTGCCATCTACGTCTAAGAATACTACTTCCACCACACACACGGCACAACCCGTTTTGCAGATAAGACCCAACCATACTCCATTCATCCACAGATCGTGATTTTGACTCGAACTAGAGACAATAAATCTCTAGTTCAGTATCTCCAGAGGTATTGCTTTGTTATGGAAACTTGGAGAACTTTGTGACCTGAGAGAGTTAATGTGCACCATCTAATACACAGGGATTCTTCAGCCAGCTGAATTCGAATTTCCAGTTCTCACGAACACGAGTGCAACTTCCTGCCTACCAGGCTATCCACGCGCTTTCTTGAATGAATGAAATCAAAATCAGGCTTGAGTGGCGATAGCTCAGAGAATAGAGCTTTCGCCTTCCAATGAGGTGAACCGGGTTCGAATCCCAGCGATGGCTGATTGGTACGAATCCACATCCGGCTTGCACCGACCACAGCGCTGGCGTGAAATATCCTCAGTAGTAGACGGATCATGGGTAGGAATCCCTTTGCAGTTAGGCTAACGGTAAGAGCTTCTCGCTGTCTTTCCTTCTATGTAACGGAAATGCGGGTTAGTTCCATCAAAACGTCCTCAACGAAGGCAAATTTCTCCCAATACTTGATCCAGGAGTTCCACTTGATCCCAATACTTGACCCAGTCTACTAGATTGGGTTCGAAAATAAAAGGCTACGGAGTTGAGCATTAGTAGTCGTAAACCCAGAAATTGGGTCGCTTGTTCAACGACGTTTATAAAATAAAATATAAAATCAAAATCGCGTAATCTACTGTGGATTTTGTATGGATAATGACTTGTTTTCAATCTTATAAATTCAAATTTAGATCCAACCATGTGCGGTGGTCAATTTTCATTTCTTAACCGGGATGAAGCAGTGCAATGGATTCTGAACCATTTTGACTCGATCGGAAAAAATGGAAATATGGTCACACGCAGAAATTAAACCCGCACCGTTAATGTTTTGAATTTTATATAAAAGTACTTTTTAAAAGGTACTCTTTAAAAGGTATTATTATGTACTTTTTTTTCTTTCTTCTAGGAGTCTCAGCATTCTCCAAGACATCGTACTGCTTCCCTAAATCGTAGCGAAGAAAATTTTGAAGAGAAATCTACTGTTGAAGAATCTAGTAAGAAGAAAAATTTATTTTACAAGAAAAATAAACGTAAAAAGCAAAAGTAGTATAGTAAAAAAAATATTAATGTAATTCGTGCTTTGATCGCTATCCATCAATTCTTTTCAAAATTCGAGTTTTTTTTTATGCATTTGCTGCAACTAGTTGAACTATTTACGAACGATAAAGGATTTGATCTTTGTAGGACGCATCCGAGGCACTGCTTTCTAAAGAAAAAAAAAACTAACTTTAATATTAAATAAATAAACCGAAGAAACTGAAGCGGTAAGATATTGCTGGATTAAAAATTTCTTTTGCTTCTAAAATATACAAATTGGAAATAACAGTCAACGAGTTTCAAGCACTCAAATATAGGCTCCCAGTTTCAAGACTCGCCAGACGTGAATGAGAAGAAAGAACCGTTTTTTCTTCCTCACCTTCATTTTTTGATGGCAACTTAACATTTTTATTTCAAATCATTTTTGTTTCTTCTTATTCCTGTCTCATTCACATCTCATCTTTTCTCATTCACATCTTGAAAGTGGGCGCCTACTTTTGAGGGCTTAAAACTTGTTAACTGCTATTTCCAATTGGTTAATTTTTAAGCGGTTAATTTTTAGTTTTTAAAGTAACACCTATTTAATAGCTCAAAGTTTTTTATTATTTGTATTTGCAATCTTAACAACATTGTCGAAATGTTTGTTAAGATTATATTTTATAGAATTTTAATTGTGGCAATTTTTTGGTTTTAAAGCAGATTATAAATTTTAATAATTTGTTAATTGCCCTCTAACATTTTAAGGCCTGGTTTCTTAAGACAGAACGCCGTCAGCTGGAAATCAGCGCTAACCTCTGATTGGTCCATTTGTGAGTTTGATAGTATACGTCATCGAACNAAAAACTTCATTCACTTCAAAAATGTGTAAATAAGAAATAAACGTCCACATGTTTCCAGCGCTCAAATAGCTCTAGTAATAAACTTTAGAAACTAGCTCAAAAAAGCCCTTAAAAATAATCCGTAATTAGTGTAGTATTATTTTTAAAAATGAAGCAATTATTTTAAAATTGAAAAAAATTTCCTTTACGTAAAAGAGAGTTTACTAATTGAATCAAATTTAAAAATGTGCATTTCTTTCTAATATTCAATAACTAAACTGTAATAACTATTTTTATGGTTGTTCTGTGTTTACTGAATATGTTTTTATTTGATTGACTGTTAGTCGCTTTTCTGAAAAATAAGTCCAAAATTAATTTGTTTATTTCACATTTTGTTAATTTTATTATTTTTATTTTGTATGATTTTCACTTATTTCTGCTAGTCAAACTTGTGATGCTTCACATTTCTGTTTCTCTTTAAATTTGTTTTATGTTAGTTTTATTAAAATTTATTTTATGTCATTAAAGTTTACTTTTATTTTATTTGCTTCTTTGTGTTTTTGCTTTTTACAAAATTAATTTATTGCCACAAAAAATTATCTTTATTCAGACAAAATTTTATCAATTAATTCTTGAACACATTTTGCAGTTTACAGCTTGGACAGATTCTAATTTAGAGGGGGGGGGGGGAGCGNGGGGGGGGGGGGAGGAACAAGACTTAACCCTTTGGCCACTAACGGGACTCATTTGTCCCAACAAGTGTTTAAAAATTACTAATGGGGTGAAAAGCCCTTAGAAACCCATTGCAATATGTACCAGTCGTAGAGTGAAACCAAGTATACGTTGCGTCAAATATCCCCCAGATGGCGCTAAAGAGTTTCTTGCATGAAATAGCATTGTGATTTTGCTCTGGGACAGATATATCCCACTAGTACTCTTCATTGGGACACATATATCAGAGATGCCAACTTGCTCCGGACAGCGAATAAATATTTTCGAGTGGTAGTTTATTAATTGTGATTCTTTATTTAATAAATTCAATTTATTAAATTATTATCCACCACTATTTCTAAATAATTTCTATGCTTACATCTTTACCACTTTATTACAGTTATGTCATGTTAAATCCCTTAAAAATTTGAAAACTTATTCAAATGTTTGCAAATTTTAGTTTGAAGTTATTTACCGTTTTTTAAATTATTTTGGAGTGTCCGGAGCAGTTGGCATCTCTGATATATCCCACTCGTATTCTTCATTGGGATCGTTATGTCCATTTATATTTTCTCAAATGAACATAGAAAAAAGAACAAAAATATGAGTTGTCCAATGTGTAATGTCAGGTTATGCAAAGATTGCTTCACCCTGTATCATACCATGTAAAAAAAAAGTTCATATAATAAATTTTTCCGGAATAATAGATGTGCTTGAAGTAAGTCGATCACTACAACCAAGTATACGCAACTGAAACCAAGTATACGTCGCGTCAAATATTCCCCAGATGGCGCTAAAGAGTTTCTTGCATGAAATAGCATTGTGATTTTGCTCTGGGACAGATATATCCCAATAGTACTCTTCATTGGGACACATATATCCCACTCGTATTCTTCATTGGGATCGTTATGTCCATTCATATTTTCTCAAATGAACATAGAAAAAAGAACAAAAATATGAGTTGTCCAATGTGTAATGTCGGGTTATGCAAAGATTGCTTCACCCTGTATCATACCATGTAAAAAAAAAGTTCATATAATAAATTTTTCCGGAATAATAGATGTGCTTGAAGTAAGTCGATCACTACAGGTGGGACGCATGTATTCCACCAATAAGTACGCCCGGGACATATATGTCCCAGCCTCTAAATTGATAACCGCTTGTTAGAAAAATCCCAAATACTAAATTTGCCTTATTTGTGACCTATTTTGTCCTTTTGAATAATAAACGGGACAAAAAAAATCATTTCTTTTAAATTCGTAGTCAAAGGGTTAAAACATCTTTTCTTGTGTTCTGTTTGACATTTTTATTCAATTATTACTATTAGGTCACACTCTCCCTATATCTTGTTCACATTTTCAATCGTTAATTAAATACTTTTTATTCATACACTCAGCGACAAATACAATTTTTTAAGCATGTAGTGTATGGCACTTGATGTTAATGCAGTTTTTTCAAATATTAATTCATTCATTAAATGTAATTAATTAATTTTAGTTTTATATGGAAGGAAAAAAATGACTATTTAAAAAAAGTAACTAAAATAAAATTTTTCTTTGTTGACCTAAGTAGGGATAGACTTTAAAAAATAAATTTTTGTAAAACGTAGTTTGGAATATTAAAAAAATTTATTACAAGTAAAAATTCCAGTTCATAGTTTTCTTTGTTTAGCCTTTAATTTATATAAGAATAAGTGATATTATATAACATACAAGTAATAATATGAAACATCTATTAATTGAAACTTTTGTGGCGTAACTACCACTATAATTATTAAACTTCAATTTACTAGTATATAAAACATGCTAGCTGTATAAAAAGTTTAGAACCTTTTAGTTTTTAAAAGTTGGCATAGTCTTAAGTATCACTATTTTAGCACTCACTGCCAATATAGTATGCATTTAGAACTTCGTAAACGTGAATTTCTCGTTCTTGTGACAGCAGAATTATAATTAAATTGTGAGTATTTTAATTTGATCTTAATAAAATTTAAAGGTAATGGCATGATTATTTCATTCTAAGCATTTATTTAAGAAAACCCAGACATTTGTGAAGTAAAACAGACCTTTCATCTAGTATGGTCATGGGTAAATATGTTTTTTATTGAAGCAACATTTAAGCTTTAAAATCAAAACTTGGTGTTAAACAAATGGTTTTTTTCACATCGGCAAATAAATAATATCTCGTTTGGCAATAATGCCTTAAAGTGTTGGTTAAGTAATTAAATGTTTGGAAAATGTGTCCCTCATAAATTATTTTGATTACAGCTGAGTAAAAGTTTTAACTACCGTACAACGTAATCAGCCTACGCACATGGTAAATTTAATAAATGGTACCGATTTTGTTATAAAGAACCCGAAAATTTCATAATATGAACTTTCGCCATCGAAGTAAAATTTCATACCTATCACCTTTGGAGCTGTTTATATGAATTTAGAGAAAATAAAATATTTTGGCTGCTGCAAACATTATAATAAAAAATATTTATAATTTTATAAGTGTATTAAACTATTCCTTTTCTTTTTTTTAATAAATAAATCACTTGTTATTACTATGAATAATTCAGAATATATCTATTTCAGTACTACGAGAACAATTTTCATTTTAAAAAGACTTTCAAATTCAAAGAAGCCGCAGGCAGATAATTATGTTAAAAGTGGTGATTCATAAAATTCAAAAATCTATTAAAAGAAATTGAAATGAGCAACTTTTTCTTTAATATTTTTTTAGTTTACTATTGAAGAACTTCGCTGTAAAATTTAGCTTTAAATATGAATAATTCACAATATATGTATTGGTTGTAGTTACGATTTAATAATTATATTAATTGGAAAAATAAAAAAAATGAATTAAGTTTTCACCGATTCTTAAATTTTTAGTCCCCTGTGGCTACCCTGCAAATTGAAATTACCCAATTTTAACAGGAGACTTTTTTTCTTAAATATTTGAAGTACAGGGATGACACGGACTGATAAAAATGTAAAAAGAGTTAAAAACTCAATTTATCTTTATTTATTTAATTATTCAATCGTAACTACCAACATACATTGCAAAATATTTATATTTATTAGCAAAACTATTCTTTGCATTTACTTTCAATAGTAAACTGGATGAAATATACAAGACAAAGTTCCAAATTTTAATCTGGTTTAATAGGCCTTGCATCAGAAAGGTTCTGGGTTCGAATCCCGGGCAAGGCATGGATGTTCTTTCATTATCTGTCCTTACTGTGGGAGCAACGTTGGCCCACCTAATATAGTGCCCCTAAAGGAGTGGCCAACTATAGTTTGTCTAAAATAAGAACTCCTCCAGAATATTCGTCTGAATCTATGGCGGTGACTATGGTAACGAGGTATGACTATTTCAAGTAGGGGTGCGGCGTCACTGTTTCGGGTCGGCGAGAGAAAGGGAGTCACTTTCACGGTCTA